CATCTTGAAACGCCTCGGCTGCTGCTAACTGCATTGTGTCGCAGGACGTATAGTTGGTTGAGTGCGCGGCGCGTTTCCTTTGTACTGAGTGGTTTTAGCGCGGCGCGTTTGCTTTGTACTGAGTGATTTGCACTGGACAACTCAGCTGTTAAGAGTTGAAATTCGGCTTTATCAGCGCGCCTGTGTTTATTGTATTTTGTTTTTTCTTCGATTTTGGCAGTTCGTTGATCGTCTCTTCCTGTGCTCATTTATTCAAGTTTTATAAAAATTTGTTTGTTTTCGCGTGTTTTGCGTACTTTCTTATGCTATTATTTATTGTTCCACGCGCTTCGCATTGTTTGAATTTTATTATTTGTCGAATTAGTTTAAATCCTTGCTCTTTGTTCTCAGTTTTAGAAAAAAATACAATAAATTTATCAGCTTTCTGTTTCTTTTCTCAACTGCTTTTTCCGATTCTATTGTTGTTTTTTTTTTTGGTTATGGTACTTCTATTTTACTCGCTTTATTATACTGATTTCCTTAAAGAACTCTGTGATCTTGGATACGTGCGTAATTTTTTACGGCATATTGGTGGTTCAGTGTTTCTGTTGAAATAGTGATAAAAAGCACGCCCTCTTTGACTCTAGAAGCGAAAGCGATAGGAAATGCGTTCAGAAGTTTCCTGAAGAAAACAAAAGAAGAAGGAAGGAAAAAAATATAGCAAAAAAATTTATCAATTTTTTTTTTTATTATAAAATATCAACTGAAGAACATACACTAGGTACTAAAAAGGTTATTATTTGTCTAAAAGAAGTGATGATTATAAGTCAATCTTCTTAAAATTTTATTCTTATAGCGGTTGTTATTCAATCAAAGCGCCCAGCATAAATATGAAAAAACTGTAATAATTATAAAGTAAAGAGCTAATACATAAGATAGTTTTGCGTAACTCTACAAAATTCCTTTAAAGAGTATATACTTAACTAAAGTGGATATTTAATTATTTTATTTTATGCTGAACAATGACATAGGAATGCATGTTTTAGTTGAACGTGTCGCAGCTGATGCCGTCCAAAGGCGCGAAATTTAATTTTTATTTCAAACAGTGAATACAAATATTTTGCTAATTTGGTATGTTAATTTCATATGTACATATGTTCACCCCCAAAGGCCAATGAAAGCTAAGAGTTAACAATTTTCCCAATATTTGAATTGGATTCGATTTTGAATGTAAAATTTGTGCATACTTTCACTCACATATAAAATTACAGAAATTAAAATAATAAATTACAGCTCTATCATAATATCAAGTTTAATACTTATTTATCAATTTATATTTTTTCCTCACAAGATAATGGTTATATTTAGATTTCTCGCCGACAAAATAGGAGTTATTTGATAACAGTTATTTATTGAGCTTAGAGTAGTTATGTGGTGAGTTCTACTTAACTCTTACGCAATAAAAGACTTTTGATTTTTGAAAGTAATATCCACAAATATTTTTTTCACAAATTAAGTTAGGGTGAGAGTATTATTTGTCAAAGCTTTATCGTCCGTTGGTAATATAGCTGATTCTTAAGGGGTTAGGCTTTTTTATGTTAGCATTACACTTTGTCGGAGAATGGAGTCAAGTGTAGAAGTTCCGCAAGTGAAGAAAGTACTCTATATATACATACATATATGTATAACCTCTGGGTTGTCAAAAAACATCCGTTTAAAAGTGAGCTAAAATGAGAACCAAGGTTGTGCGCTGGGTTTGGGACTCACCACGTAGGAAAACCACAGTATATAGTCGAAAGATTTTCAGGTACACTTGCAGTGCTTTTCTCTGAGAGTACTCTTTAGAAGGGGACAACTGCAAGCGAAACCATTGGTTTAAAGAAATTGCAAAGAAACAGATGGTACGATGAGGAGTGCCGTGTCGCAGTGGAGAGAAAACAGCCTGACTAACTCCCAACGTTATCTAGCATGCCAATAAAGAAGAAGAAAATCATTCTATGCCACTAAACGGATTTTCAAAAAAGCGATTCTGAAGATTGTTTTTTAAAATCAAGATAAAAGCACCTTTAAACACCTGGTTTAAAACCCTGAATAAGGGAAATTTCATGAGTTTTCCCTATTGCTAGAATCAACTCTATTATCTTATTAAACTTCAAATTAAATAGAACCCTTAAATGGAACACTATAATTTAAATTATTTATGTGTTCCCAATAGCATAATAAAAAAGTAACAAATTTTTTGTTGAATATATAACTTTATTGACATTTACATTATTGTCCTCATACATTTCCCATACGCAATCTCAGCTAAAACCATTCGGATATCAGCTCAAGTAGTCCGTGCGGACACCATTGTACATATTGCGAGCAATCACCGGTGTATCCATGCGCTTCTGCCACGTAAGTATCCACATTGTCGAGTGAATGTTCGGTTTCAAGGGCGGATGTCGTTGGCCTATTATAAATAACAAAAATATAAATACAAAAGCAAAAACAAAAACGAATGAAATGCGTCCAAAATGAGTTATCAGAGGAGAAGTACAATAAAAAAGACTCTACACATACGGAGGAGTCCTTATCACAACGCTAGCACGCATACATGTCTCGTATATAACTCACTCACATGAAGAGGATTTTAAAAATACTGCCTATCAGTCCATTATGCTCATCCAAAGTGGAACTCGACACGTCACAAATTGTCCTCAACAGACAGCCTGTCCCATTCATATCATAATAATCCAGATAACCGACAATGCTACGGTAAAAAGCGTTGCGTGTGTAGACTTGGCCGATGCTTCGAAGTCGACGTTGGTTAATACTCGTCACATTGTTTCCAACGCCCACATCCTCTTTATCCAAGTTCCACTGTGAAGTGCACGACAACGAGAAAGTTAGTAGCACCCTAGAATATTTGATAATATAAGTATTACCCGATCCACCCAATAGTAATAGGAGTCATTTGGTGGAAATCCATAATTAGCTTCAAAATTGAAAGCCATGTACACGTTTCGATTCGGCAGATCGATCGGCATAGCCAACGCTGCCAGGTACTGTCGAGATCGGAGATCGGAGAGCGAAAGAGAAGCTGGCGTTAGTTATAAACTATTTGGTGAAAAACACATTATTAAGCTAACTTACGCCTTGAGAGCTTGCGCGCGGAAATGCTATGAGAGCTTCTGTGACGCGTTTCACACAAAGTGTGGATAAACAAATTATTAATAGATAAATCGGTAGTTCCCGGCGTCTTATAAACAGCATGTTTGTGCTGCTGTGGAGTTTTCAATGTATTGTAATATGGGCTGTTGACTTGCAACTGAGCTGCAAAACACCTTTTGGTTTAATCCGTACAATTTGCACTTGTTATGTGCAATTTCCATATGTACAGGGTGTGGCAAGGAAAACTAGACACTGATTTAGGTAGGTGAAATGTGTTAAAGTCGGTAAGTAAAAATTATAAATGCTGATTCTGACCCGTAGCCGATTGGCATTAGATCGTCATCCGTAAAGAAAAACAACGGAAGATTATATTTCGGGGACTTCGAAAGTTATCGTTACCTGTCGTTTATGTCTAAACAAAACGTATAACAGATTGCTGAGCAGTTCACTGAATTAACCTTATACTCATCAGATGAAAATAAAGCAAGTCTGAGAAATATGACAAATGCTGATTCAAAGTTTAAAATTTACCCTAGCTTGCAAAACCATTTACTGATCCAGCTTTACTCCTTTCTGGCAAAAAAATCGAGGTCTAAGATTGTTCTATCTAGAAAGCTGATTTTGTTTCTATTACGTCAAAATAAATAAATATCTTCTAGGAGAAGCCTTGCAGCAACATTTTTCTCGAATGTTTCATTCTACATTTTCATTTTTTTTTTTAGAAAGTTAACCAAGAGACATTTCAATACTTCTCCTATAGCCTAAAATACAGGAAGTACCTTGTTTGTGAGTTGTTTTTAATGTTAAACACCAAAACTAGAGTTAAATGATGTAATAGTTTTTTAAGAGAGGTTGTTTTTATTACCTATCCCAATACTTTGATCCGCTAACATCCAATGACTCTGTGATAAAAGTTTAGGCTACAGTTAACAGTAATGAAAAGCAATGACGATAGTAGACGTTTCCATGGAACTAATGTTCCAAAATTAGCGCAAGATTTAAATTTGCCGTCATTTATGTAGTAAAGTGTTGACACTGAGTGCCTATGTGTATGGAAAGCCGTGGAATCTTATTCTATGGACTTTATGATTCAATTAAAAAATTACAATTGAAACATTAAAAACTGAGTTTTCTATTTAATTCCTATATTGCGTTAATTTTGGGACAGCATTTAGTAATAAATTCGAAATTCCGGTAAGCTAAAAAGTTAACGATGTAACTCGGAAAGAATTTTGTGCGTCACTTAGTTAACTGTTATATGGAAAAATCTAATATGTATACCTTTGTGAATATAAGAATAAGCTTCTTACCATATGTTTTCTTTTTCAAATTTCGATTGTATCCGAAGTAAGACCCTCCTTACAGTTACAATTTGAGTTGATCCATTTAGATGAATTCTAGGGTTATATGTAAGTATAAAAAGTAGCACCAGAACTGAGTAGATGGTAGTGAATTGACTTCATCAACGATGTGCTAATTACCCAGCCATGCCGTGCGTGTTCTAAGCAACTTTTAATTTTCATTAGCTTACCACTAGATTCAATACTACGCCAAAGCGAAAGCCACGAGCTAACAGAAATTATGTATACACTTCCCTTTATATCTATGTATGCTGTACTTTCTAGATATTAAATATTGCACTAGAAGTATCAGAACTAGGTCAACAACACATTTAGCGTGGTCATATTGGCCGCTGCTTTGGTTTGGCTTAGAACTTGCTCTGCGGCCGCAGCTACGGCAACATTTTATTAGCATTTTCGAGGTTATTGCCACTTTGATTGCAGCAAAGTTCCGCATTCGGTATTGAATAGCGAATGAATATTGATGTCGACTAGAGCTTACACAGTCCATATATACAAAAAGCAATGAGTTGTCGAATCTATTTGTTATTATTTGTAGTATTTAATGCCATGCAACCGCAATGTTGTCAATTAAGCGCCATCGCTGAGCGAAATAAACGCTGGGTACCGGCACTTTTATTTCCGCCGACCAGCCCGACGCGAGTGCAGGTGAAGTAGAAAGTAGAATATAGAAAGCTTTAATAAATTATATTCGCTCTAGTATATAGTCGGTATTGGTATACCCCTGGAGGACTTAATGTACGAGGCTATGACCACCGGTTATGTACTCAAGGCTGAATATTTTCTACCCGATAACGTAACGAAACTATTCACCATAACACGCATGCCATTTACGGCACGACAAATGACGAAATTCGAACGATTCCTGGCGCAGGCGGATGAGTGGAAGCGTTATGCAACTTGGGAGCAACACTTGACGAATAATCGTAAGGTGTTGTCCAGCTACAGATGGTCCATCTACAAAGCGCTTGAAGGCTTAGCAGAGCGGTGCGTATTTATAAAAATATGTACATATTTAAGTAAATCAATTATGTATAAGTTTGTTACTTCGCAGGATTGCACCTTCGGGACGCGATTGTGTGTTGAAGAGTATTTGCGAGGCCGCAGAGACGCCATTTCATTACGGTAATGGCTTATTTGGCGAATTGTTACACATACTACTAACGTAAGTTAGTTTTATTACTGATTTAACTAGACTTATAATTTGAATTGTTTTTCAATTAGTCCCTCCTCTTCGGTGGATGAATTGTCAAAGCATGCGGATAATGAATACTTCTATGCTGAGTCGATAGGTCGCACCGGCGCGGATTGCAGATTGGTTTTTAAGGGGTGTAAGAAATCATTGTTGGAACATTTTTCTAATGTGAGCACTTTCAAAGATATAATTTTGAAGCAGTTGGGACAATTTGGATAGCTTAAGGAAAAGTCATGTGAGAATGCTAACATTTTAGTAATGTGTATGCTTGTCTGAAAAATATAAAAAATTTCATATTCCGAATTTTCAATAAAGTCCTCGTGGAAGTCTCTTGATTTGATTCAAAATTTTTTTGCACTTTAGATATTTAGATGTCCAAGTTTCTTGTCTGGATTAGAGTGGTTCGGTCTTTTCGTTGGTTGCATTGTGAACTCCGGACAGGGCATTATTTGAATAATAATATTCGATTTACAGTCTTTGGACAGTCGTAAGTTTTCGACTATTCTAATAACCGGTAATTTTCGACTGATTTTGGATTTCAATCAATTTTCATTTGTTCAAATACTAGCAGCAGAGCAACTATTCGAATAGTCGCAATCGGGTTTCTGCTTATTCAACTCATTTTAAGAGCCCTATTCCATTCCTAGATATTCCAAATATTCTAACTGCCACATTTCTCACCAACTCAACTACTTAATCACAAATAGTATTTACCACAAACCTAATGACACATGTAATAAAATTTTTTAAAAATGTTGTTGAAATGTAAGTAAGCATATGTATGTGAATGCCTCCTAATTAAATGCAAACGACATACCGTGTCTTTGGGTGTATTTTATTGCTGTTTTCATGTAGTTTTTTGATTTGATTGCGAGAAATTTATGCAAATTGCCGGTTAATAACTCTTTTTCTCAACACACTTGGTGGTCTTATCGCCGCATAACTATCAGAAAATTCCGAAGTGAATAGCCGAGGAGAGTTTAGTGTAATGAAGGCATATGCAGGGATGTAACGCTTGCACGGTGAGGCGTCAAGCGGCCCGCATTCGTCAGCGGGCAGGTAAGTTAGATGGATAGAGGCTTAAAGCAAGAGATTGAAGGGCGGGTGTATTTCATTAATTATACACTTAAGGCACATTTTGGGCGATGGCGCAATGATAAGTAACTTGAAAAGGTGTCGCGAGATGCGCGCTGAGTCGGTAAGCCAGGTGTCGAACGTGGAAGGAGATGGAGATATAAAGCGATGTCTTCGCTATAATTAATTTTAATAATGCTGTGTATTATTCAAATTCTTTTGTGAGATTTTTTTACTTTTAAATGAAAGATTCTAACTGCAAAATGCTTAATCAAAATAATGCAATATATAAGGAAAATGACATTGAAGAACATAATATTTTTAGAATACAGTGTCGATGAAACAAATGTTAAGCAAAGAAACATGCTTTTAAATCTTTTGGATTCATTGTGATACCATTGGGAAATAACTGAAAGTTGAAATGAATAATCGGAGTCCATAAGGTTAAATAAAACGATTTTATTGATACAAGTTTGCCATTAATAGGGAGTTTCTAAAGAAACAAAAGTACAATGGCTTAAAATTTTTCTATGCAACTCCAAACTGGCAGTACTAGTTTTGATTCAATACATTTTTCGAAAAGATTATTTTTATTTAATAATGCTTATATTAAACGTTGTACAACATTTTATTCGAAAAGGTCACCTTTTGCTTTCACATAGGCCCTCAAGTGATGCCGCCATAGATCAATAGCAGCTCGCACAGTTTCCATTAGTATTGACGACGCTGCTCGAACCAACAATTGTTTTTAGACCTTCCCAACTTCTGTGGGGTACGTCTCATTTATTGGAGACTCCAACCAACCCATTACAGCATCTAGATGGTGACCACGTTGAACGTTTGGCATAAAATGTTTTGCGTCTTAAATTTTATTAAGACTTATATATCATTCGAATGGTTTGAATTTCTGCTTTCTTAAACTGTTCTGAAATTAAAAATTGGTTAATAATTATTTAACATAAAGACCGATAGTGCGCAAAAGTACGAAAAATCATTTTTTTTGAACTTAAGTCGAGATTTATCCGGTGTTTGGCAAATTCTAAAATTGGATTCGCTACCTACAAGAAAAATAACATCACTTCCCCGGTATATTGGAGTGTTACACTGCGTAACTTCTTTGTCGAAAAAACTTATTTACCGGATATCACCTTACTTTTAATAAAACTTTAATTTTAATTTAATATTACTTTCAAACACTGTGCGATCATTTAATTTTAAGTAAATACTATTTACATAATCTTTATTGGAGGAGTTTCTGATTTGGGGAGAGTGTACTTCCTTCCAAAATATTGGATTGGAAATGCGGCGACAAGGTTGATTCAAAGTCAGATCAAAACAAGTCGGATCTGCGCAGGCTGTCAGGCATATAGGTTATATTGATATGTTAGAGATACCTGAGTTTGTAGATTTTTTGCAGTTAATTTGATAAAGAAGAACAATTTATATCAACGAGCACAACATACTATATGTGATTACGAGACAACTTTTGATAATCTTGTTCTGACTATTTTAGCAAGTACATAACTAAGGTTCGAAAAGTACGAATAGTTCCAAACTGCCTGATTGGTCTTATATTATATTATTATATATTATATACAATATATAGGGTCCATTATTTTCTACAAATTTGCATACAGTATTGATAATCCATATACTCGTATAGTTAAATGATTTTAATGCAAAAGAGTAAAGAAAACTTAAAGAACGCGCTTGGCTAAAAGAATAAATAAAATATGCATTTCACATTCGAAAAGATTGTGGGAGCGGAGTGAGCTGAACACCGGCTAAGCGCATCTAAAGTGGGATTATTTGGGGGAAAGAACAAAATGCAATACAAGTAGCAGTTTGTGGCTAAGGCTCACAGAGAAGCGCTAGCACTAGCTGGCCCTCCAGAAACGTCCAAGTACAAGCTGCGGCTGAGCGTTTCAACAATGGCAAATCAAATTTACATATTTATATTTATGTATTTTTTTCATGTAGCTCCATTCTCCTGGGGGTTGAGTTGAAATTGTTGTTAATGTTTTTATAAACTAATTGGCTTGACAACGCGCAGCAGCAGTAATATATGTAAAAATGAAGAAAAATGAATAAATTACATTAGGGTAACATTAAAAATTAGGCGACCAATAAACATTCATGAGTTTTTTTTGCTTAGAAAAACCAAATAAGAAGACAAAATTTTGTTACGAAAGAAGACTGCAAGTCGCGACCGGTCAGCGGTTAAGTGGCGTCTTGTTGGAAAGAATTTCCCAAGCGTGTGGCACACATGTTGCAACAGACAATTCCGCACGCACGAAGAGAAGGTACATAAATTAGTTAAAGTAGTTCTGCTTCTCTTCAAATTTACTTTTTAGCTTAGTGTTTTCTTCCTATCTTTTTGATAATTTTTGGGCTGTGCTTTTAATTTGTGTGCACTTGCTGAAAGAATGTTAATGGTCGTCAAAGATGACATATCCGATAAGCAAGTAGATGAAATATTATGTCAATTGTATATTTGAAAAAAAAATACATATTTACAATGGAATATATACATATATGTATATATATGCATGTGTATATTAGTTAAAAGTGCAACGTATTTAAATTATGTGAGTCGTTAAAGCAACTTTGTGAATTTCCTACGATAAGAAAAAGCTGCATAGCATATTCGTTTTACCTTTTATCTAATATATTAGTTAAGCGTAGGCAGTCTAATTTATATATATGTATACATCTGTTTCCATGTGTTGCAATAATATTTGTACCCTCCGCAACGATGCTCCGATTTGACACGTCACATTTCTTTAATCGATTTGACAGACTTTAATTAATGATAAAGTTGATACGAATTCGTGGCAGCGTAGAAATTTCAATTTATATTTGGTTTGCATACATAATATAAAATGCGTCTTCAAGATGTGTATGTATGCTTTAATTCATATACAATTTTCTGAAATTCGTGGGAACATAAGTAAACACTGCCAAATTATGTAGAATTTGTGTTAGGCAGGTTTCAAGGTTTTTAATTAAGTTGTTGTTATTATACAATTTGTATTTTGATTTCAGCCAGGCCTTTGTCTCGGTGAGTACCCATTTTTCTCACAGAACATTCCATAGATGCCTGAGGACAGGCAAAGTTTACTGGGGTCTAATTCGGGATCTATTTCTTCTTCTACATTAAGGACTTACATATGTCGACGCGAGAAAAACGCAATTTTTGTGGATTTTATTGAATTCCTTAAAGAAAAATAATATACATTTACAGAATCTCATTGCTTTAATATTTGGCGATTCAGTTAGAAAGCATTTGGAACACCTTGTTTACGTGGCCTTATTAATATCTCAATTCCAAAGTAAAAAACAAATATTATTACAGTAGATGAAAGCAGGTAATGATCGAAAGACTAGTAAAAAGTACATATGTTATTTTTAAGGGGGTTTCTCAGAAAAAGGCGAGAGTTGTGAAAAAATTTGCACTTCATTATTATAAAAATAGTATTATTTTTGAGCATCTGACAAATATAAGAATTTCGTGTGAAAAAACCAAGTTGATGGGTTTGATCGTTTCTGAGAGAGTTTTTTACAAATGCGGTCTTATCTCCGTAACTATATGTCGGATTAACTTAAAATTTTCCGAAAATATTCTCAAATGTATATAAGTATGTATAGGGTTTGAAGAGAGTCTTGTTTATTGCTAAAGTCCAATCATCTCGAATAACCCCACAAGAAGTAGCCTAATTTAATTAAATTATTATTTCTTGGAGGCCATTAAATGTCACAATTTCTTGAAATAATCGAATTTTCGAACTTTTCTCGCAATAATTCGCCACTGGAACCAGATGTTTTCAAGATCAACTTATTCCAATTGTGGTCATAAAAATTTGGTTATCATCGATATATCCTGCTCTCCATTGAGGGTAACAGTGTCATCAGTTTCATTTCTAAAGAAGTACGATCCAATGATTCCACCAGGCCACCATCAATTTAGGTAAATGTAATTATTGTTCACGCATAATTTGTGAATTTGCTTCGATAATTTTTTTTATTTACCCCACCTCTCAGATGGAAGTGAGCCGCACCGGAGAAGGTAATTTTCTTAAAACAAATTGTTATCGTTTTCAAGTTGTTCCAAGGGAAAATCAGTGATTTCACGACGTTTACGATCT